ATAAATACAATACAATACAATAACAATTTAAAATGATTCAAATAGTTTTAACAAGCATATCAACAATGAGAAAATGTTTATATATATATATTTATATATATACAGTATATATATATATATATATATATATATATATATATATATATATATATATATATATATAATAATCAACAATAGACTCAGACACACACACTCATACATATATACACACACACTCATACACACACACACACACACACACACACTCACACTCATACACACATATACATACACATACATACACATACAAACACACACACACACATACACATACATACACACAATTAAACATCGTTAACAATTTTGATGAGCAAATTTTTTTTATATTGTTATGATAATAATTTTTATTATTATTATTATTATTATTATTATTATTGTGGGTAAATCGTGCACCAAAATTAGCATGCTTAAAATTTCCAACAAAAAAAATAAACTTAAACACAATATTATAGTTATAGTTCATGAAAAAAATAAAAATAAAATAAATATATTTTAACAAAACTTTTACCACTACCCATAAAATTGTTTAATAATTAGTAGTAACAATTCATGTATTAAATTAGCATATATTGTAACAAAAATACTAAATATATTAGTAATAGTAAAAGTAATATATATATATATACTGTATAATTGCTAACCATTGAAAGCGCTAACAAGCTATTTATATATACATATATATATATATAKATATATATATATATATCATATAATATTATAAATATAAATAGCTTTCACTCAAAAAAAATATATTGGATATATGTTTGACACATACAGTGTGTATACATACATAGACACCCCATTAAACAACATTATATATAYATTATWTWTTTAAAGGATAGTCACCTATCAAACACACACACACACACACACACACACACACACACACAATAAGCTAGCTAATTTTTTTTTGTGTTTTATAAAAMAAAATTGTTAAAAAAATTTTTTTTTAAATATGTCTAAACATCATAATCATAATCATCAACATGTATGTCATGTTTAGTTAWATATATACAATATATATATATTGTATATAATATGCACACAAAAAATAAAACAAAACAAAACAAAAATTTTAAAGGAAAAGGTGGGGCCGCACCTCTACCTTATTATTATTATTATTATTATCACTCAATAGGTAATAAATATTTAATAATAATAATAATTTTTTAAATAGGTATATGACTACTTTCAAGTCTAATAATGATTTTTTTTGAGAGGGGGGGGGTACCTAAATTTGACATTTACAAAAAAATTATATTACAATATTAGACATTACTGTGTTAGATACCCATCAACAAAAAAAACTAACGTAAAAATATGTATAATATGTATATATATATATAGTTAACAAGTTAATCATCAAAAAATCAAAATTTTAGAGAGAAAGAGAGAGAGAGAGAGAGAGARAGAGAGAGAGAGTAAATGTATAATTGTATACAACATACTAAAAAAAAGAGAAACTTTTATTCATCAAAAAATTTTCACCAAAAATATATATATAATATATACAAAAAAAAATTTTCATAATTGACTGACAGGTACTTTAAAATAATGCAAAAAATGTATTTTTTATTTTGTTTKAGTGAAAAAACTGTTGTATATCTATCTATAATTATACTGTAAAATGTTTAGTACATTACAGTACATATCAAACATATGTTGTATATATTTATTACTTATTTTTTCTTAAGTGTATATATTTTGTATATTAAAAAATCAAATATGTTTAGACATCAACATTATATTAACAACAATATGTCCATGCTAATAATAATAATAATAATGCTCATGGGGTATTAACTATCATGTAATGTAATATGTATTTATTATATATATATATATATTATATATGTCTAAATCTATACAACAAATTTGCTAATAATAATAATATTATATATATATATATATATATATATTCAGTAATAAATAAATATATTTATGATTTTTTTGTTGCTTATATATCTCATTATAATTAATTAATGCACTCCTATTTTTTTGATATTATTTCACTTATATATATATATATATTATTAAACATTGTTAGCCCATCAACAAAAAAAAAATTATATTTAAGTAATATGTTTAACATGTTGTTAACAAAAATGCAATATATGTTTTTTTATTGACATCAACATAAAACTATCATAATATATATATATAACTWTATATTATAGCTAAATGCTAATTATATTTATGAAAACTTAAAATTTTAATTTCATAAATTTCAAACATTTATATATATATATATATATATATATATACATATATAAATATATATATATATATATATTGTTATTAAGTGTTGCTATTTTAATATCTAATTTTTTTCTTGAATAAAAAATTTTAAGTGTTATGTAAAACACAAAATAAAATACTAAAAACTTATATATAAATATATTTAATTAAAATGTTTTGTAAAATCTGATGTATTGTTAAATTAATAATTTAATTTATATCTTTATAATCATATATATAATTTTTATTTTTGATGATATAATTGACATAATGTCATATTAGTATAATTCAATAAATATGATGTTAAAAATTTGAAACTTTCAAAATAAAAATACAATAAATAAGTTTTGTATTATAAATAATTGATTTTTATTGTTGTTTTATTAT